TCATCACTACGTTACGCGTGATCTTAAACTCTCTTCCGCTGACCAACCAAAAAGCTGGTGAGATCATGTCAGAGTTAATGGATGGATCTGTTGTTATTCCTGTGGGTAATTGGTGGTCATACCACCAGCCACCATCGTCACCCATCCAGTTCTTGTTGTCTTTGTTTGAGAATCGGGCGATTAGCGTCCAGCCTTTATTATATGATGACATGTTACAGTAGACCTACGAGTGAAAAAAGCAAATCTAAATCTTGTTTGATTAAAAAAGTTCGGTTTCATCGGTTTCCTTAAACTTGCAGCGAGCCTGATCCTCAATCATGCGGAGTGAACACTCCGCGCTTTCAGTACAACTTTCCACGATTGAAAACCTAAGGCTATTATTTTAGACAACCGGTTTTAGGGAAACTGACGAGGTTATGCAAATTGCTTATTTTATTATGCAATAAATTTAAAGTGGCTCATTTTTAATCCGGGTCACTAAAATCAGTCTAAAATAAACAAGCAAGTCCCTTAATTAAATATTCGCTTAATCTTGATAAAATCACGTTCTTAAATTGAGTTTTCACAAGCAATGGCAATAAGCAAACGTTACNCAATAAACTTCACTGAAAACTGTAAAGAGATAGCAAAACTGAAATTGAAAATCACAATTATCGTGAGAAGCTTTTGGGGGCTTCAACTTTAGAATCCGTGTTTAAGCTGGATTGTGATTTTAAAAAAAAGATAAGCTTTTTTTTTTTTTTGAAAAGACCGTTAACTCAGTATAGAACAGAATCCTAAAATACGCAAACGTAATACCTCAAACTGACATTCGGCTACGACCTTTATATTTTCCCGTTTGATGTGGAAATACAAATAGCCCTTTAGAATGCATCGACGTTTATTCAAATCCAACGCGGAACCAACGCTGCAAATATAAATGTATTTTAAGTAAAAGAAATGGGAACATTTCAAGAAAATTATTTTCAGGCTTACGGTGTGAGATAAATCAAATATTAATTGTATCAATCTCATCAAATTCCATGTAACCTTGTCAATCAGTATATAGTAATTATCATATCATTTTTTGTTCGCCCAGCAACAATCTTAAAGTTCAAAAATAATTCAGAGCGTTAACTTCTATGAAAATGTAGCTTTTAATTAAGACTACTCAGCGGATACAGAGATTCAACGAGTAGCACTGGGATGGAGTGGAACTTTTCAAAGCATCATAATCAAAATTGTATTCAGTATGGCCGTCTCCTTCAATAAAAGAAACCTCGTTTTTCTCTGTTATTCCAATTTTAGACAACCGGTTTTAGGGAAACTGACGATGTTATGCAAATTACTTATTTTATTATGCAATAAATTTAAAGTGGCTCATTTTCATTCCAGGTCACTAAAATCAGTCTAAAATAAACAAGCAAGTCCCTTAATTAAATACTCGCTTAATCTTGATAAAATCACGTTCTTAAATTGAGTTTTCACAAGCAATGGCAATAAGCAAACGTTACATTTCATATTTGTAAATTAGTTCTATTATAGGACTTCCCAACCAAGGAAAAATCAAGGAAAAGAAAGCACAACATGGTAATTGAAGATTTAATTACTAGCAGGGTCTCTTAATAACTGTACCGCCTGGTAGAATTTGAAACGGGTTTATTAAAAATTATTACCATAGGCATACATAAGAATCAATTAGACCATGTTACTAAAGTTTGACCTTACCGCAAATGCAGCATTGGAAGTTGGTTTTAAATAATAGATGTCATCCGATTTGGGTCTGAAGTAATTATGGATCTGGTCCCATGACGTACCTGTGTAAATAACACAAAAACTAAGTCAGGCATTATCGTCTTTTTACTGTAATATTAGTCCTATACTTGTAACAATGCACTTTTGTTGTGTTTACGACATAAGACGATGACTTTATTTGTTCCCTCTAAACAACTCAGACTCTCAGTCTTATATAGTAAATTGAATACCCCCAAAAATGCTCATCTAAATATACATTATCATTTCTCTGTGACTATCTCTTTGATGAATAGACGTTATTTTGGGGAATTAATTCCGAACAGTAGGACAAAACTGCAGTCCATTAAAGGTAACGGATAT